AGGTGATCATGTATTGTGTTACATTATATTTCTGGAAAATTTAAGGGGTAGTTATATAATAATTTTGAACGATCTTGGGCGGTCAAATACTTATGACCGCTACTGTATAAAGCTATTACATTTGATATTATGATTGAAAATACAGATATTTCATATGAATCCCATTTTATTATATATATATCAAGTATTGTTTGCATAGAAATATTAAGATCCATTTTTTAAATTTACTTCAACTAAAAAGTAAAGATTCAAAAATTATTTTTAAAGCAATTATTAATTTATTTGATAAAAAAGGTAAGTATTTTGAATAGATAAACTTATGTATTTATTTCAAATAGAACAAATGTTATGTTAGAAAGATCAACAGAAATAGTATTAATTAAAGAAAAAAATAAGTGTTTATTCATAATACATTGCATTACATATAAGCTAACTTTATTATATAAATCAGTAGAAAAAGCAGTAGATTTCTGTAAACATACTGAATATATTGAATATATTATAAAATCTATTTATAATGTTTTTCTAATTCTAGCAAAAGAATATATACTTTATATAAATATCAAGAAATATTAAAACATCTGATTTTAAAAATTAAACAAATTTATGAAGTTAGATAGCTCCCTTGATATGAAGCAGTTAAAAATTTATATCTTTCAATTGAGACTTTTAATGAATATACTATTAGAAACAATATCTATAACAACTAATAAATCTTAAAAACAAAATTTTATTTCTTTATATAAGAAATTTGTGATTGGAAGTTGCTTTTTTACATTTTTTATGGAATATTCTTGGATATCTTTTCAACTTTGAGTAAAATTTTTCAACAAAAAAAACATTTATTTATCTGATATAGATCCAGTAATAGAATTAACTCAGAAAAATTCAACAAAAAATTTTGGATTATAGTGATGATGGAAGATTATTATTAGGAGAAAATTTAAATAGATTCTTGTTAAATACATTAGAAAAAAATCATAGCATCAGTACACATCAATTAACATGGGACGAAGCAGATCTAATCGTTGATATTACATCATTTTCAGATAGGCTTTTACTTAATTCTATGAAAATTAGAACTTACAAATTATGGTGACAAGAATCGAAAGTTTTATCAGAGTTTTATAAAAAGAAGTTAATAATATTTGTGAAGAGTGGTTTGGGTATAAAGCAATAGTATATTCAAATTTTAGAAACACGAAAATTGAATTACTAATTCCAAGATTATTTGAATTTTATTGATACTTTTCCAGTCATTAGGAATCATATATTCTAATTCCATTTTCATCAGTGTGAGCGTGGATTTTCAAAGCAAAATCTAATAAAAACTGATTTGCGAAACTCTTTAAATAACATTTTTGGATGATGGTTGGGTGGAAGAAAAAGATTTATCGGAATTTGATTTTACTAGAGCATTACAAATTTGAAATAGAACATGTAAATGAAGAATTTAATTTTTTGTTTTAACGTTAATAAAAAGTTACAATTTTTTTTTGATAAAAAATTTATAGAGCCGGTAAAATAATTTTTTTCCGGTAAAATTTGATTTCGATTTTAACCTGTTTACCATTTATAATGTTAAAGGTTTTATCTATCTATCATGCATAATATGCTATAAAATATCCCGTGACCTAAAAAAGTATCAAAACGAATAAATCGATTTATTGTAACTAACAAAATATAAAAATTATTTTGATTTTGAATTTTACAATAAAATTACATTTAAAATAAAATATAAATTAAACTATTTAACTGATAAAATAGTGAAGAAATTGAGAGGTCTTAAATATTCATTAATGCTTTTAATTGATCTAATAAAGTATTATCAACTCGACTTAAATAATTTTGTCTAAACATTTCAGATCCTCCATTAAGTGCTTCACATTCACCAATCTTTAAATTAATGAATTGAATTAGGTTGGTAGTATGAATAGGGTCCCGTTGTAACAGCTATAATTGCATATAATCAAAACATCGGGTTGAGTAAACAACAATAAAAAAAGAATTTATATAATGAACTTTTTAATGATGAAATATAAGAACACATACAACTCGTTTGCGCTTAGTTTCAGGTGATGCATCGCTATCATCAATTTCATTCTTCCCTACGTATTCTTCTTGCCAATAAACTAATGCACTATAATCCCAAAGCATAAACAGTTTCAATATAGTTTTCACGTTAAATGTTCAAATATAATAATAAAATTCATTAACTTACTCTCCACCGCCGGATTCTCTAACTTCACTCAACACATCACACCAAACCCCAATAAATTGAGCTAATAAACTTAGAATAGTCGGATTTGTTGTAGCAATCAATGTTGCGAAAGCCATCGCACTCAATTTTCGTTGTTTAGGATGTCCAATATTATCAAACTAGCAATGATCATTAAAATATATTTTAAAGATAAACCTTTTCTACAATATATAAAATTAAATAATAACCGTTAAATTACCTTATCTAACCATGTTTCCAAGACTTTCTCTAATAAATTTTGTTGTTGAATATTGTATTGTTGACTGGCAATTGTGATGAAATGTAAAAAAAATACTAGATCATTAATGATAATCCTAGCTAATATTGAGACATAACCTACAAGGACGTAAGGATTTTCCTTTTGTAAAAAAATTTGAATAATTAAAAAATTAATCACACTAAATAATCGACGAGAAACAAAAGATTAAATAATCAATACCTCGTTGACCGAAAGTATGGTATTAAGCAGTTTTACAAGAAGTCCCGTGTTAATAATTGATTCTTTTAATAACTCAAAAGGACAAGCTTGCAAAGTAATATCAATAACATGAATGATAGCACGACATGCTTCGGGTTTTAAATCTCCCAATAATTGAGTAAATGCGCTCATAATAGGAATTGCATATGACTGTTCTTAAAAGATGATTAATTAAATGTATTTTGTTATAAATAAAAAACAGCAATAGAAAGAGATAAAATTGCACCTGTACAATCATTTCAGGTACCAAAAGAATGTAACTTTCAATAATTCTAAGAACTTTTTTAAGTGTATCAGATCCAAATTCCAACAATCCAATAGCCATGGGGACTAGGTTAAATAGTGATGGTGTACATTCAACGGTATTTTCAAGAATTGCCAACCAAAGGTCCAAACCGTCTTCTAAAAGATATACGTGTTCTTCCTGAACAAATGAGCGAATGACGTCTTGCGAACATTGAAAAGTAATCATAATATTATATTTAACATATGAAATTATTATTCAACTTACAGTGTTGGTACTAACGCTGTATTGAATTATTGGTATTATAAATTCATGAAGACTTATAGACTGTTCCCACAAGGCCTAATATAAAAAAAAAACATAATTTAATTAAAAATGGTAACAAAATAAAAAATCTTAACATTTTATTTACCTGCACAAGTTTGGTCAATATCACTAGGATAGCTGGTTTGAATAAATATTCACTTTGAGCTACTTGCCATAACGTTGGCAATAAGTTTGTAATCTTCTCAGAGAAGGGTGCAATCTAATAACAAGATCATATGAATTTTTGATTTTAAAAAGACATATGTTTCATACAATTTTTACCAGTGAATCCATTCTCTCTACTATAAGAGATAAACAATTCAAAATCTTCATGCGACTTTCAAATTGTTTCACCTCTCCAATTAAACGCGTCAATAAAGTGATTGCACGGTCAAGATATAGTACAAATCCGTCCGAATCAAAATCCCATTCGTCTACACGTACATCAGAAGTTAAGAATAATAATAAATTTTGCAAAGATATTTCTTTAAAAAATCAAGGATATAACTCCTCAAATTGATTGCAGCAGTCATTCTAACGACCAAATCCTCTTCCGGGTTTATGAAATATGACATAACATCGTAAACTCTGGGTCGATTTTCTTTTGATAATTTAACACATACCCATCTTCCAATCACCCATGCAATGCGACGACGAATTATTTTGAAACTTAAGTTAAAAAGAATGGTATTAATTTCTTATTATGAAACCAATAAAAATTCATTATATAAATATTAATATATAGTATTAATTCTACCTAGGATCGTTATTCGCTGCTTCAATCAATAAATTATTAACAAGCCAAGAATCGAAATCAAGCACGTCATATAATTCGTGCGAACCTAATCCCACTGCACAATAAATAGCATCTTTAACAAATAGATTGTTTGATTGAGACACTAGAAAATTTGAAATCGAATTCATCTGATTAGTTACACAACGTTAAAAATAATTCAAGAAACATAACAAATTTGTTCAGAAAATGCCAAATGATGGCGGTTTAATCTTTGACATTAAAATGCCTAATAAGACCGTCGTGAATATGATGTTTCATCATTATTTAATGTGCATGAGAATTATCAAAAAGAAATAAACTTACTAGCTAAATAATTAAAAAATAAAGTAAATTAAATCAAAAAAAATTTTTTTTAAATTAATTCATTAATCAATTAAATCAATTAAATTATACTTCAATAATATTATACATACATGCGGCATTTCCGAGTAATTCCAACATTTTTGATGATAAAGGATCACGATATTGTGTGATTAAATCTGTAAAAACCTTTTCAGCACAAGGCTAGGACACATAAAATAACCAAATTAGGTAAATAAATTATAAATGATAAGGTGAATGTGAATTACAACAAACGTACTCTTATATGATATTCCCAGTGATCTGTCTCATCAAAATTAATCCACCCTTCTGGATCTTCTTCCCACATTATCAAATCTTCCTTCCTCAAAATTAGATAGCTTGAAATTAATAATTCGGCCAATGTTTCGACAAAGCTCGGCGTCAGTATTTGTTCCTCTAAAATCTTAAATGCCTCAGAAAGACGTTCCTTACTCTCTGTTCACAAATTATGATAGTAAACATCCATGAAGTTAATGTTTAGAATAAATATGCATATATATAAAATTACCTTTGATATCTTGATTATAACCAGACTTTCTTATGATGCCTTTCAATAGTAATAAGGATTGAATCAAAATCTTTTCTGTGCCATATGGTTGAGTTTCCATTTCTATATAAAAAATAAAGAGTTCATAAAAGGAATATATAAAATATAGAAACGAAAAATTCCACATACCTGTTTCGTACGATTTACTATGTATAACAAGCAATTGCCAATAATACTTAATTACATCTCTAGATCCTGGAGTCATTATAAAAGAAACGGGACGCAATCTTTGTAATTCGACGTAAAATTTCCCAATTAAATTAACTTTGGAATCTAAAAGTTTAAAAATTGGGGATGATGTATCCTGAAACGAATTCCCTATAATTCGTATTCAAAATATAATAGAAGATAAGCTATATTTTTTAGCGAAAATCATTAAAGCGAAAATTGTATTTCTCAGTAAAAATCTTACTTAAAGTATAAAACTTTTGTAAATGATCAAAAGCTAAAACAAAGAATGCCTATTATAGGGAAAAATATTCTCATGATATTAAGATAAATTTTTAGTGATGAAATTATGATTATTATCTCATTCACCTTAGTCTCATCAACTCTGCTAATATCTTGAAAACCGTGAACAATTAAGCGTCTAATAGATTTCAATGCAATTAATGATGTCTCTAAGTCCATTGCATTTCCAATATCATTAGAAGTTGAAATCATATTGAAGAACCGATTGGTATGCTCTACATAAATACTAGCAACATTACGAAGTAATTCTGGCGCGACCTTTTTATTTCACAAAATGTTAAAAAAAAATATTTTTTAAAAACAAAAAAAATAGAGATAAAGATAATAATAACAATGACCTGTTCAAAAACTTTCCGATCTGGCCCAAATGTTTTTGAACATAATGCCTTCACTACTAAATGTAATGTTAATATTGCCCTCTTTTGTATTAAAATTGAACGAGGATCAGCATTTACAATTATCGTTGAATGAATAATAGATAGCAAATTTTGAAGAAGGTTTGGCCTTAAGTTGTTGTTTTGATATAGTTGATATATGAGTATGTGATTTATATATAGATAATTTTAATATTAATATTTAACATTGATACATACCAATCGTTAGGAAAATCATAGCGAGCAACTTTGGAGACTAGAACTGCACTTTGAGTCGCAAGCTAAAATATTCAAAACGCGTTATTAGTTTGTGATACCTATAAATTAATTGTTTCGAATATTTTGAGTTGTTATCATACTTGATTATGACTTTCGTCCATAAAAGACAAAAGTTGATTTCTAATCTTTGCTTTTTCTTCGGGGTTGATAGCACTTGCAATATAAACATAAAATCAATTAATACAAAACTTTAATCATCTTAATCAAAGGATGAGGATTTTGTTACTCACTTTTTTGCAGTTTTACGCCAGTATTTATCTATACCATTTTTGAAAAATATAACTCCAAAGAATCGGACATTCACATCAATAGTTTTGTCATTGATAATATCCTATAAACGAATTCCGTTTATGAATATAATTGATAACGAAAAAAAAGTAAATAATTTAATTAATTAATAAATAAATTCTTGTAAATTATGATTGATGATATTTATCATTCACATACTAATAGTTTTGATCGAATCGATTGTTTCAGGGTCGAAAAATAAACAAATCAAAGAAATATAATTAATTAAATTAATTGGTATTAATAATCGTATAGTAACGAATTTTTATTTTATATCTTATATAAAATTTTGTTACGCGTAATAAATTTTTAAACAGTCAAAAATATCTTTTTATATATATGTAAATATTTTATAACAACGATATCAAAAATATTTCCATTTCTGATGTAACTAATAACAGGAAAGAAGCTAAACTTTTTTATAGTTCTTTGCACGAGAAGTAGTTACAAGAACCAAGTAACATATAAACTTTTTACGTTCTAAGGTGTGCAACTTCAAGCTTTCCAACTAACTTACCAGTAATGTAGAGTAAAATTCTGGAGCCACCTCCCATTGTTTAAGCTGTGCCTCAGCAACTTTTATTCGCTCCGGTTGTTGTGAAGCTGCTTCTGCTAAAGTTTGTAAAAGTTGTTCGCGAGGGGAAGACATTATTGTTTTTTGACCAAAGATATATTCTAAAAAAATTTTAATGATAAATGATAAATCTTGAAATTAAAATTTTGGTACTACGTATCCAAGTAAAATAATTTCCGGAAAAACTCAAAATTACGACTGCCTAAACTATTTTTTACGAAATCATTTTATACTTATTCTAATAATCAACGTAAAATATTTAGAATATTAGATACATTATTTTTTAAAATTTTGATTATATTTAAATGCATTCCCCTTAGGATCATAGTGTGCAATTAAAGATAAATTATTTATATGTTCTTTATATACTTGGGATTAATGGGAGCATGCATTTAGAGAGAAATATATGGTGGGTACATTTAGAGAGAATGCATTTAAAGAGGTCTGACTGTAATTTAAATTTTTTGATTTTTGAAAATATACAGTAATTTGTCAATATATTTAAATCAAATTCTTAAACATTATATTAAAATTTGAATAAAAATTTAATATTGCTTTTTTATAACTTAGAATGACCTATTTCTTTCCTTTTAACTAATTAAATCGAAACTGAATTATTTTGATTATATTAGCTTTTCTAAGTTATTTATTTAGAATTATCATGTAAAAATATTTATAAAAATACTGAATATTAATAAGTTTAATTAATAATTTTGCAATTATAATTTAATTTATATCTTTTTTCTAAACAAAGCTTATTAGCTTTATATAACATTTAAAATCAATAATTATATGTTATCCTATATTGATTAAATGCATATATATATATATATATATATATATATTATTTATAAAATAAGTTTTTTATATTATAAATATATAATTATTGTAGAGAATTTCTATTTGTACTTAATAAGTATTTACTTTATCTCACATAATAATATAACTTTTTTTAAAAAATTCAATACTTTATTATTTATTTATTATATAATAACCATTTATTTGAATTTAAATTAATTTGAATATTTTTTAATGTAGTGATCTATTTTTTACATTTGTTATATTTTTAACTACAGTCAACTCTCTATAAATGCACCCCCCTCAGGACCAGACAAA